AAAGAAAATGAGTTACCAATACTACCAGTGGATGTTCATTCAGTCTACGACCTGCCCATTGATGGAGTTCTAATTACAGTGCCAAGATTAAATTTTAATTTAGATAAAAATTTGGAGGACTCTAATGAAGAAGGAATATCAACTTACTGTTTTTACAATAATGGAGGAATCAGTTTAGGCTTAAAACTGTAAGTCCATCTTTCTTTGTCCTTGTGAAGAAGATAAAAAAAAATGTGTCTCATGAGTTTTTACTAAATTTCATTATAGCTGCGATTAATTGTTGTGTAAAGTCAACAGCAAACACATCTATTAACTTCAAATTTTTTATGTAGCTGTAAGGATATCACCAAAGTAGAAACACTTGATTGGTGTGCGTACACATACAACAAAATGCTTGAAGCATTCAAAGAATGGCAAGATAGATCATCATTTTTCACTGGTCCACTACCTTTCATGATGGTAACTACTTCACTCCTCTACTTATTGTTCCAAAGTTTTTTACTTATAGTTCATAACTTTTTACTCATTGTTCCAGACTGTCACTCTTACTGATCCTAAATTATTTATATATGTAATGTTCCTAACTTTTATGCTTAATGTTCTAAACCTTTGTACTTATTGTTCCTAAATGTTCTATTCATTGTTCCTAATTTGTTTAATTGTTCTACTCATTGTTTCTAACCTTTCTACTCGTTGTTCCTAATTTATAAATCTATTATTCCTAATTTATGTAACTATTGTTCCTAACTTATATATGTAATTTTCCTAACTTTTGTGCCTATTATTCTTAACTTATATACTCATTAATCCAAACTTTTCTACTCATTGTTGTACATATTGTTCTAATCTTTCTTATATATTGTTAAAATCAGATTACTTATTTTGATCGACTTAAAAGATGAGATGTTAATCCTCCAAAGCAATTTCCCCTAACCTCTGTTTCGAATAAAGACATGATTCAATTAAGGATGAAGATTGACAAAAAACGAGGTTATAGTCAAGGAATTGTTCTTGACAGAATTAGCTTAAACAAGGAAAAGTCAGTCCTTGAGATTGAGACAGTACCATTTACATCAATTGCATCCCGAGATATACGGGTAAATTACTGTTCATTTCTTAATGTTCTAAAATCATATAATGAATGTTCCAAACATCAATACTTAATGTTCCAAACCTTACCACTAAATGTTCCAGACTCATAGACTTAATGTTCTAAACTCATATACCTGTTATTCCAAAAGTATAAACTTATTGTTCCAAACTTATATACTTAATGTTCCAAACATAAATCCAGCCAACTTCTCCTCCAGCTTCTCCAATCCAGCTTGAAAAACAGCAAAACGAAATTTGATCACACAGATGGAAATCAGTTACCACAACAGAAAAAAAAAGAAAAAAAAAAAGAGAAAAGAATCACACAAAATCTTCCAGTATACCTACACTCACTATTCATGACAAAAAATGAACTAATATCCAAGAAACTACAAAAAAATGAAAGAATGGTTGTTGAGTATGCATTCTCACTGGACCAGTGAGGTAAGCTTGTTCATAACTTAAATATCAATTGTTCCTAATTTATATTATTGTTGTTCATAACTTATATATCAATTGTTCCTAATCATATGCTTATTGTTCATAACTTATATATTTCCTAACATAACTTATATATATTGTTCCTAACTTTAATTTTTGTTGTATGTGCTGCATAATAAAGTGAGCAGTTATACAATGATGGATTAGCCTTCATCAGCAGGAAAGACCTAAATCACTACAAGATAACAATCGTGTTTTGAGCAACATCGTTGACTCCTATGCATATATACTCAACATGGCAAACAAGAGAAGAAAACCTGGTGCAAGAGATAGATTTTTTTGCTTTCTAAGAGCTTGATATTGTTCCTAACTCATATACACAATGTTCAAAACTTTTACACTTATTGTTCCTAACTTATATACTACTTGTTTCTTACATATATGCGCATCACAATGTTCAAAACTTTTACACTTATTGTTCCTAACTTATATGTTTCTTTGTTTCTTACATATATATTCATTGTTCATAAATTATACACTTATTTTTACAAACTCATATATTTAATGTTCCTAACCTATACACGTATTGTTCCAAATTCATACGTTTAATGTTCCTAACTTATAAACGTAATGTTCCTAACTCATATATTTAATGCTCCTAATTTATATACGTAATATTCCTAACATATATGCTCATTGCTCATAACTTATACACGTGTTGTCCTAACTTATATGCTTCTAGCTTCTTACATATATGTTGTTTCTTGTTTCTAACATATATGCTCATTGTTCATAACTTACACACTTATTGTTCCTAACTCATATATTTAATGTTCCTAACTTATAAGCGTAGTATTCCAAACTCGTATATTTAATGTTCCTAACTTATAAACGTAATGTTCCTTACTCATATATTTAATGTTCCTAACTTATATACATAATGTTCCTAACATATATGCTCATAGTTCACAACTTATACACATGTTGTTCTAAAAGTATATGCTTGTTTAATGATGTTAATAATGTCTTATCATTTTAATACTGAAGCAAATACTATGCGGCGATGCTCACTTCAAGGAATCAAACACTTATGCTGAAAGATATTTAGCATTCAAGTCCCGTTTCACAGATGAAATGACACACTCTCAGATCACTACCTTTGATAAAGTTAATTTGGTAAATAGTTTCAGATTATTTCCTTTATTATTTCATTTTATATATTTTACAATACATTAACAATACTTTTTGTTTTTAATATAGGTGTTCTTCCCAACAATTGCGTTTGAACATCACTACCTGTTTTGCTTCAACTTTATCAACAACAAATTAGAGGTGATCGACAACAGAAAGCTGGAGAAGGGAGTTTCATTTAAAAACAAGTATAAGGATTTCCTACAAACAATTGTAATAACTCTGTAAAACTAAATTTTAATTGTTCTTAAAACTTGTTTCAACTCATAGTGTTCATGTAACTAACTTGTACTTTTTGTATTGAAGTTGAAGGCATTTGCACAATTTCTAAATGAAACACATACAAGCAAAAGAGATTCTGTAAAAGAATTCAAACTAATAGTCAAACAAATGTCATGGAGGAACAATGATAACAATGATAATATACATGACTTTGGAATGTATGCCCTGAAACACATGGAATCATACAAAGGGCAAGCTAACTCACTTTGAAAAATAGGAATAAAGGCAGATGATGTAAGTTCCTTACATTTTATACACGATTTACTTATTGTTCCTGACTGTTTTACTTAATGATCTTTATACATATACTGAATGTTTGTTGCAGCCTGATAAAATGACAAAACTGAGGATGGAATACTGTGGGAAAATCTTGATGAGCGAAGAAAAAAAGATCAAGAAAGAGCTACTAACCAATGCAAAACAGATGCTTATTGATGTGAACTGCTATTCAACGCTCCCAATTTACATGGTGACGCTCCCATTTAAATGTGAAATTACCGTTTTGACCTTATGTTAATTTGACCTATATAAGGCTCCACCACTTTGTCACATAGTATACGAGCAGTTTGATATTATTCCCGAGCACTTTGACCCACCACTTGCATTTAATCAATTATTTAAAAAATATTAATCACAACAAAAAAAACCAAAATTACATAACATTAATTATGAGTAAAAAAAATTTAAGCACGAAAAAAAACCAAAAAAAAAACAAAAACAAAAACAAAAAAAAAAACGAATTTTAGGGACGTCCACCTGAAATTTCCGGATGTCCCAGGGAACATCCAGAAATTTCAGGCGGATCTACGTAGATCCGCTTGAAATTTCTGGATGTTCCTTGGGACATCCAGAAATTTTAGACGGATGTCCCTTAAGACATCCAGAAATTTCAGGCGGATGTCCCAAATTTTCAGGTTTTTTTTTTTTTGAATTTTCAGATTTAAAAAAAAAACCTATGTTTTTTTAATTTTTGAAGAGAATTAGTTTTTAGAGAGAATGTACGAGCGTAAAATGTGTTGTAACTGTCGTGAGTGAGTGTCATGAGTTATTTATATACGGGGGCAAAAACGGAATTTCATGAAAAAAATACGAGCGACGAGTTGTAATTTGGGAACGACGTTTAACAACACCCCATAATAATTAGTGTTTTACATTGAAGAAACAATTAGAATTTAGTTGTACATTACCTGGTATATAATCTATCTTGTATATAATCTATCTTAAATACTCTTTTTGATTTGATATATAAATAGTAAAAGCTTAGACCAATCTCTTGCAAAAAGTATATAAGACAAGTTTTTTAATTCTTTTGTATAAAATTCTAGAACAATAAGTACATTAAGTGTTAAAAAAAGGGCAGGAAGAAAAAAGGTAGAAACGCCCAATTTTTTCGCCGGATCTAGGATGAAAGGTCTAGATCATTTGAATAACCGTATGGATGATCTAAATTTCTGGGCGTTTCGGCCTTGATTTGGCGAATTAAGTTAGTAACATTAAGTGTTAAAGTCTGGAACAATAAGTACACCAGTTTAGAACAATACGTATAAAATTCTGGAACAACAAGTATAAAAAAACAAGAACAATAAGTACACGAGTTATGAATAATATGAATGTATATTAGTTATGAAACTGTTTGGTTAAAGGTTGTATCAATTGTTTAGGCATGTTGTTCTTAGTTGGAAATTTGTAATGAACCAATTTGGTTGAAGGGGAAAGTAAATAAAGTAATTAAGACATTCCAAAGTGATGAAATTGTTCCTAACTTATACACGTAATGTTCCTAACTTATATGCTCATTGTTCATAACTTTTATACGTATTGTTTCAAACTATTATACCAATTGTTCCAAACGTAATACCGTATTGTTCCAAAATTTTATACCTATTGAACAATGGTTTTCTTCTAGGGTTGATGTAGTCATCCTGAAGTACTGTTGTGGTATTGCTTGTGCTACTTAATGCTTTATTGTATTTAAATCACTTTGCAAATCAAACTTAAAACTTTTTCCATATAACATTAATAAACTTCTGTTATATAACATTAATAAACTTCTTTGGGACCGTAAGTAGGTGAATTATGAGGATTCGAGCCTTATCCTTTGGGGTGGCTCGTAAAAACATATACACCGGCAAAAGTTGCTTTCTCATTATTAAATTATTATAGACTACGCTTGCCTTCACAATATCTGAATCAGAACACTCTTTACTTGCTCTTACTGAAAGTAGTTCGTCTGCAACTCTCATCAAGAGTCCATTCAGTTTAGGCTCTTCAGATCCATTTGATTCCGTATGATAACTCTTTCTTTTGCCCCAAGAGCTACCCTTAATGGAGCTACTCGACCCACTGGTATTCTTTTTGGAGACGTTCATCTTGACAGACAACATATCAGGTTCTCGATCGGCCTCAGGATGCTACAACAACAACAGCATGCTCAGCATTTCTACTAATGATCGTGGCTAAGGGGTTGAACCTAAAAGCATTAATCTAGGTATTAAAGGTGAATTGGGGGGGATGGGGGGGATTGAAGGTATGCATGGTAAGCAAATAGCATAGCCAATGGCACAGCAAGTTACAAACACAACAACAGCAGCATGCTCAGCATTTCTACAATGAAGAGATTCACCTCATATATACGGTTAACATTTCGGGGCAGCATACCCCACTCTTGGCACTGCTCAGACGTGATTTGGTGATTACCAATCTTTTGACCAAATCGATAGGCGAATCTTCTCCAGAATTCGTCAGACCACATCTGTGATTTGTGAATTCCATAATGTCCTTTGGCACATATTTCATCGAAGACACTCACAAAGGCTTCGTCCCAAGAAGAATCCCAAGCCATCTATACCAGAAAAATATCACTTTTCAAATAGATACTCATTTATTAAAATATGGACTCATTTAGGAATTATTCCAAACTTACTGTTAAAAGGTCACCGGTTGAAGCACTTCGTTTTCGTATTCGTTTTTCTGTTGGGCGTAGCTAGAAAGAGAGGAACAAAATCATTCACCCAATGCCCATACCAATCAACACTAAGACCAAACCAAAACTGCCAATAACAACCATTAACAATACCAAACCTCCAAATTATCACCAGCCAAAAAAAAAACAACCAACGACAACAATGATATGCCATAACATGATTGATCAACAACTGCAGATTATCAATTATCAATCATAGAACAATATTAACAACTACAATCACCACTGCCAATCAATAAGAACATAAAATTTCAATTCGCACAACAACCAATCAATAACACCTCACCAAAAACAAAAATTTCAACAATGGTACTTCTAAGGCAAAAACAAAAATTTACTCACCGCGGATGTGGCCTCTTCGTGTTCTCTCCTCCTTGTCCCACTTAAAGTGGTTAGGGTTCTATTGTTGTCAGCAGGCATTTTGGTATTTTCCTAAAACTATCAAAATTTGCCCAAACGAATTCCTGGAGAAGAAAAATGATCGACATAGGAGTTATTGAAGGTAGGCTTTGAAGACTGAAGCTATACATGCATTGAATCATCAAATCAACTTTATCTTCTTAATTTTCCTGTCGGCTGCTGTGGTGAAGTGATTTGGAAGTTGCATTCAATTTTTCAATTGAAGTTTAATATAACTATTACCAAACTAATATGGTCTTAAATAAAACCATGAATGCCTCACCACCTTCTAACCTACTAAGTCACCTCTAACGCTTACTCGTAAACAGATTGTTTCTCGCTTGAATACAAAAATCTAAATCCAAGAACCAGCAACATCCTTTGTACTCAGCATACAACAATTCAAAACAAATTAAGGCAAACTGTACACTCAAACCAGTAATTCACTCTGACAAGGTTTTGCAATTCTAAAAACAACATATAATTTGATTCAAAGGCTTAATTGACAGTTGATTCAATAAATTTTACCCCATGGAAGCAGCGATAATTAAATCAATTTTTTTTAAAAAATAATTAATTAATTTTTGTACTTCATTGTAATAATTAAATCAACTCAAAATCAAATAAACAGATCACTTTAATCAAATGCCTACTAAAATCATCTACTTGTATTACTTAAATTCAAGCAATCCAGAAACACTAACGATTAATCGCAAACAAAAATTAATTTAAAAAAAAAAAAAATCAAATTAAGCGAAAAAATAGAGTGAATTACCACAAAAAAACCAAACCAAACAAAAATCAAAAAATAAGTTTTTTGTACTTAATTATAATAATTGAATCAACTCAAAATCAAATAATCAGATCACTTTAATCAAATGCCTACTAAATCATCTACTCGTATAACTTAAATTCAGCAATTCACAAACACTAACAATTAATCGCAAACAAAAATTAATAAAAAAACAAAAATAAATCAAATTAAACAAAACAATAGAGTGAATTGCCACCAAAAATCAAACCAAACAAAGCAGCATAAACCCAAGAATTACACAAACCACAAAAATTAAAAATAAAGCATAAAAATCATAAAAATTAAAAATTAAGCACAAAAATCACAAAAACTAAACCCTAAATTCTTGAAAAAATTACCTGACCCTTGACTTTGAGATTGATGTGAGCACCTTGGTCACCGGGCTTCTTGTCTTCTTCCTGAGTTCCAGACATTTTTCTCACTCTTCAAGCTTCGCTTCGTTATCACGCTAACAGTCTTCCTCCCTCCTTGAATGCACCACTTTCTCCCCCTTTTTTTTATTTTTTTCAATTTTGAGTCTCTCTTTTAAAAATGGAGTTTTGGTCTTCTCCACCTTATTTATAAATAAATCAATAAAACTTGCAGTGTACGCTGAGGTCGAGGTACTATGGAGTCAGCGTACACTGCAAGTTTTGAAGCCCAATACAAACATAGCCCAATCATAATAAATTTGGTTTTGGTAATTTTTTTTTTTTTTTTTTATGGAATTGTAGAGGCAATAATTGGTATACACTAGACCCTAGTGTAGGTACCCCAACCTACACCCCCTCTAAACGATGTGTTTAGAGTGTTACCCACCCCACTAAGTCACTAACCCACTATTTCTACCCACTAACTGCAGTAAAATAACCCTACCCCACATATATATATCTCTACATAAATAAAATTCTATTTCAAATAATTTTCTCTCTTTAAAACCTTCTTCTTCATTTCTCTAGATTTTTTCTCTCATCAAACCCAACAAATTGGAACGAAAACTGCTTCAAACTACAGCAAAATTGCTTCAAAAACTCCAAAATTGCTTCAAAATTGTAGAAATGTCTGACATTCGAGAAGAAATTAAACAATTGCAACAACCTTTACGAAAAGAGTAAGTAGTTTGTTCATTATAGTAAAATTGTTTGTTTAAACCCTAGATTTTATAATTTGTTGATGAAATTTCATGTTCGAAAACATTATATCTAACTTCATTATAATTACTATTATGCATAATTGTGCATTTCTAATTATTTTTGTAGAACCAAAAAAGATGTTTCAGAGAAGAGTACTACAGGAAAAAAGTACTTTGGAGAAAATCATGTTGAAGAAGAAGTGTAAGTTTTATTTCAAATTAATGTAAAATTTCAAGTGTGGGAGGAGTAACTTGAACATTTGTTGATTGATCATTCATGGAATGAGGCCTGAACATTTCTTCATTGAAGTTTGAACAATCCTGAGTTGAAGTTTGAACAATGTCGGAAACTGTAGGTTGAACTTTTGGATTAACTTGAGCATTATTTTTAACACCAGCACCACCTTTATTTATAGGAACATTACATTGAGCTTGAACAGCAGAAACACCAGCAACACTTTTATTTGTAGGAACATTTAAATCCTTCGACTGCAAAAAAAAAAAAATGCTCATATTAAAATATATAAATGTTCAATTACAAACACTTAAATAAACAGATAATTAATTAATAAATAAAATGTTCAATAACAAAACTGCACATGATCAATATGGAAAATTTTGACATATAATATTATCAAGAAAAAATGGTAAAAACAAATAAGCATATATGACATAAAAAATATTAGTAAGTACAAATGATAAAACATAATTGATTAATTTAAAATATAAAAATGATCCAAAAAAATAAAAAAAATTAAAAGCATACAAACAAAATAACGTAATTCTCAAACATAGAGCAATGAAATAAATTGAAGCAACGAAATATTCATAACAAAGTATGAACAATCCAAAAACTTTCATCATAATCATAATCAAAATTTGAAAATTGACAACGAAAAGAATCTTAATATATAAATTAAGTTAAAATAAATAGAGCAGTATAACACAACAAAGTATTGATGATAAAAATTACAAAGAGTATGGAAACGACTTAGCAAGATGAAATGACTTAGCAGCGCTGATTATACAAAGAGTATACATTTTGAATCATATAGAAACCTTCACAGCTAATCCTAATGAGAGTTGGATTGGTGATTTGAAACCAAACAATGTAAGTGTGATAAATGTTCAATAATGTAAGATATATTGTTCATTTATAAAACAGTGTATATAATTAACATTTGTTAATTTATTTTGTTCAACAGGTAAATCAAATTAGGAGCTAAGGATGAAATACATAGCAGGACTGATGTTATTTAAAGAAAACATTTAATCTAGGTTAAATAGAAGAAAAGCAAGAAAGTTTGCAGTGGAATAGAGTCATATGTTCAATTATGAATGCGTATATGTTCATATCTTATACTTCCTCCGTTACACATTATACCTTGTTGCACGTTTCCCAAGACAAATTTTGTTAATAGGTGATTAATAAAGTAAAGGGTTTGTGATTAAGGGTATGAGAGAGAAAGAGGAAAAATTAATCAACCACCACTACCACCCACAAGCAGCGACATCCACCACGCCCAACGCCCACCACCCACCACGCCCAACACCCAACAGCAGAAACATCCACCACCACTCACATCTACCCACACCCCGAAACCACAACCACCTCATCTCGTAATCACCATCTCACCACCACCACCCTATCCCGTCTCATCACCATAACCACCCAAAACCCACTCCAGACAACTCGTATCAACACCGCAACTCGTAACCCAGTCACCACCGCCAAGATCCGAAACCCCAACCCACCCAAATCGCAGCCACAACTAAGATCTGAAACCCCTCCATAACCAACCTCAACAAATTCGCAGCCACAACCTCCATAACCACCGAAAACCAACCTCAATCGATTTTTAGGTTTCAATTTTAAGGATGATCGGCGGCTATAAAAAGGGGGAAAAGAGTCGGCGACAAATTTGACGGGGGAAAAGAAGCCTAGTGACTCGATCGGTGGTGGTTTTCGAAGAAGAATAAAGAAAGAGAAGCGGCTTTTGGGTTCGGTGTGGCTGGTCGGAAATTTTCTAGGAATTTCAGGGCAGCAACGATGGACCCGTTCAAGGTTATGGGTGGTTGGCTGGGTGGGAGATTTCGGCCAGGAGATGGGCTGGGGTCGTGGCAGTGAGAGAAGAGAGTGAAAAGTAGTTGTGGTTGTGGTGGTGATGGTTGCTGTGGTGGTGGTTGTGGTGGAGGTGAGAGAACACTTGGTGATGATGGCAGTGGATAGGTTGAGAGGGAGGAGAGAGATTAAGATTAGGGATTAAATCATAAATAAATTAATTTGGTTTAATATAATAATAACATGTAATCTTATTAATTTAATGTGTGTTATTGAACTTAAGTAAGGGTACATGGGTCATTTTACACAAAAATATTTACCATAAATGGAAATTTTTACTTTGTTGCACATAATGTGTAACATCCGTTTTTGGAAATTGTTGCACATAATGCGTAACGGAGGAAATATATAGTTTTATAGATAGATGTTTTATTTGAGAGGAAATAGGCTTATAGATATTATTTGTTAAAAAAATTATTGTAATTGATATTTCATTTTAATCTTTGTATGAAAAAAATGTATATATACATTTCTGGAATTGGGTTTAAACATTTCTGGATTGAAGTTTGAACAATCCTGAGCTGAAGTTTGAACAATGCTAGGAACTGTGGGTGGAACAAAAGAACCAGCTTGAGATTTTGTAAACGCACTAGTATGAATTGGAACTCTTGGATTCACTTGAGCATTAATTTTAATACTAGCAACACCTTTATTTGTAGAAATGCTAGAACGAGCTTGAACAACAGAACCTTCAACAATATTTAAATCCCTTGCCTGCAAAAAAAAAAAGTCAATTGATCAATATAAAATCAATAAATGTTCAGTTACAAATACTTAAATAAACATATCAGAAAAACAAAACCTTAACAAGAGATGAAATATCTAGATCAACACATATGCTGGATTGAAGAGTGCTATCACCAGAAATGATAAAACATAAATACATAAAATGTTCAATAACAAAGCTGCAAATGATCATCATCATAATCAAAATGTATAGTATAGATTACAAATGAACATAAACGGTTCCAAAAATGATCAATAATTAATACATAAAATGTTCAATAACAAAACTGCACATGATCAATTTGTAAAATTTTAACACATAATATTATAAAAAAACAAAAATGTAAAAACAAATGATCATATATAGCTTGGAAAGTGAACATAAATAAATTAATATGTTGATATGATAAAATATAAATGATTATTTAAGAATATAAATATGATCAAAACAAAAAAAAAAAAAAAAATTAAAGGTATCGAAACAAAAACACGCAATTCTCAAACACATATTAAAGAAATAAATAAAAAGTATTAGCAATCCAAAAATGTTCATCATCATCAAATCAAAATATGGAATTGAAGCAACAAAAACATATAATACATAAATAGTAGTACACAAAAAACATTGAGTAACAAAATTACATTGAAATAAACAGAGCATTGACGTAACATAGTATTGATAATAAAAATTAAAAAAATTATGATCATAATTACTCACATTGATGAACAAACGAGTCAATCAATCGAATGCAAGAGTGAAACACACTTTTGCAATCTCAATCAAAATGGTAAAGGAAGAAAATCAGGAGAGAGAAAATAAATTGAGCAAAGATAATGTATGTATTAAAAATCAATTGAGGAGAGAGAAAATATAAGGTTTAAAATCATATTTACAAAGCTAGAATAATAAGAAAGGAAGAAATTAAAAAAGAAAAAAAAAGGAAAAAAAATAATCAAGGCAGTTCATGAGTACTACACTACTACCCACAGCAGCTACAAAACGACGCAGTTGTGATGGGGTTGTAGGTAGAACACCCTACATGAGGGTCTAGGGTAAAATTTTCATAGAGGCAATTATGTAGTCAAATTTGATACTTGGTCAGCACCTAGGCATTGTGCCTGGCCGTCGTGGGCCGTGGCCGGCGGGCCATAGTTATTGGTTGTCGGGCCGTGCCTGGCGGGCCATGGTTATTGGCGTACCGGGTCGTGCCAACGTGCTCAGGTTTACGTGTCGTGTCGTGCTGACCAAAGTCACAGGCCAGCCCACGTGCTAGGCGGGCTCGTGCCGTGCCAGCCTGCGTGCTAGCCTTGTTTTCCTTTTTGTTTTTTTTTTGTTAAAGATTTTAAGTTATAAACTTATAACTTATATTATAGCTTTATTTTATTATTTTTGTAAAACAAATAAAGTTTAATATTTATGTTTATTATTATTTATATTTATATTTATATTTATATTTATATATTTAGTTTATACTATTACTTTAAAAGTAAATGTTTATGATTTATTAAAATATATTTTTGTATTACTAATTGGTATAATTTTCTTTTTGTTATATTAATTTACAAATTATAACAAAATGGGAAAAAAAAAGGCAATTTAGACTTTGAATGTGAATAATGCATACTTCATATTATTATTACTTGAGTTGAGAAAATTGTACAATGATAACAATGATAAAAATCGTACAATGATGGTATTAAACAAAAAATTGGATAATGATAATATTGATAAATGATAATGATTAAAATCGTACAATATACAAAAATTGTCTATTCTTCTTCTTGTTGTTGCTCGTCTTCGTCTTCGGCTTCAAGGTCATCGGCTAGTTGGATAGATTGGGAACTAGCCGAACCCGAACGGTCGGAAGCGGAGG